CGTCTGATGGCTCTTCGCATCGGGTTATGTTCGGGACCGGCTGGGATATTTCTTCGAGATTTAAGTAGTGACACCGTTCCGTCTGATATCCAGTGCTTGAGTGCGCCTGGTTGGGTCGTGCCACAGGCAAAATTCCCAGCACTATGCAAAGAGGTAGCAATCTCGTCCCAGTATGAGTTCACATCTGGTGGGGGGGCACTTGGAAGAGACTCTAGAAGACGACGTTCACCCTCAATGGTGAACGTAGTAATATCAATGGGTTCTTTCACCACATAGATGCGAAGCAGCAACGCCTCGGTTGCGAGGGAAACAATAATCATCTAGCTGTCACTGTCACGAAGACTGGATTTTACCGTGGTGTGACGGTTTACGCACCTCAGCGATTCGTTGAGCCATACTGGGAAGTATCCCCGTGACTCTCGCAGAGTTTCTCATACCAGGTTGGTCAACGGAGGAACACAGTCTCCTGGCCCTCCAGGTTGGGGGTTGGAACATGTATGGCAACTTGTTCCGTAGAAATGGTAATGCATTTGCATTCCCCGCCAAACACCGCTGCCTTAGGATTTTGAGCCAAAGGCTTTGGTTGAGGACACTAATCGTCCTCCTGTCTAGGTGTGGGCGCCCTGGCAGTATCCCAGCCCTCCTATAACCATGACATTCACAACTAACAACACTCTCATGCCACATCGGCCGTTGCGTGGTGCCAACAGCCGGGTCGCCTTACTTGCTGCAAACAGCAGGGCGGGTAGGCGAAAAGAGGCTACTGCTGACGCCTCCTTTTTTTCTCTTTCACATACTTCTTCCCCCTCTCTCTACCCCATTAATAACCTTCTTCTTGTAGGCCCAGCACTTAGGACCGATGACTCCGTTGATCTTGTATTGGTTTTGCGCGCAAAATCTGCTCGTTCAATAGCGCCGACATCGTCCGGTATCTTCAAGTCAATCTTCAAGCCTCGACACACCTGGCTGCCTTCAATGTGCGCACTCTGAAGCAAGCAGGACAACAAGCTGCTCTTGCTCCCAAACTGGACTCGCCTGACATTGATGTGTGCTGTATCTCAGAAACGAGAATTCAAGACGCAAACACAGCGACTGAGTTAACCGCCCCATGAATATGCACTCGCTTCCGGCTACGCACCTCTGGTGATCCAGAGGCTGTTGCGGTGGGATATGCAAGGGTTGGTATTGTGCTGAGTTACCGGGTGGAAGTATCCTTATCTGACTGGATACTTGTTGATAGTCGCCTCTGTGCGGTTTGTCTGGCAGCGTCAGTGAAGAAGTCTCACAAGCGGTAAGTTGATAGATGTATGTTTATCGTGTCTGTCCACACCTCAACTGAATGTAGCTTCGAAGCCCTGAATGCTCTACTGCGGCGAGCTAAAAGCTCAGACATCGTGGTGATTGCCGGAGATATGAATGCACAAGTGGGCGAGCTAAGTGTATCTGAGACTCAGTTGAGGTCAACACGGACTGGATTCGGTGCGTACGGACAATGTGGAACGATTACTTTAGCTGTGTGCTGACCGCAGGCTGTTTTGATGCAGTACTAACTTCCGAAATAGCCGAAGTCGTCTGGCCACTTGGTGTCCCCCAACAACAGGCCGGCCACAAACTCAAATCGACCACATTACCATCAGTTACCGATGGCGCGGATTAATAACTGACTGCCCGTTGTTTTGGAACATATTGGTGGACTCTGGCCACGTGCTCGTACAGAGTCCCTTCTCCCTACGTTTTCTAGGGCCGCGTAAGGTGCGGACAAATCGCTTGGCAACTGAGAGACTGCCGGATCCGGACATTAGACGAATTTGCCAGAATTATCTTCTAGTCTCTTCCAAATGCTCTACCATGAGATGTGGACTCATACTGGGACGAGATTGACACCTCTTTACATAGCGCTGGGAATTTTGTCTGTGGCACGACCCAGCCAGGCGCACCCAAGCACTGGACATCAGTCCGAACGATGGCACTGCTTGAATCTTGGGGAAATGTCCGAGCCGGTCCCGAACAACCCGGTGTGAAGATTTATTAGACGTCAAGTGAAAGTGAGCGTGCCGTCCGACCGTGAAGTATGGTGGACACAGAAAGTCGAAGAAATGCAAATCGCCAAGAAAGCCGGTAATGCCCGAAGATTATTTCAGCTGATCCGTGCGACCGGTCCCCAGGAACCACCTGAGTAAAACCATCAAGCATCAGAATGGAACAACCATCTAGAATAAAGAAGAACGCCTCGAACGGTGGGCTGAATACTTCGAACAAAAACTGTCGTGGCCACCAGCTGGCACTCATGCAGAGCCCACAGGTGAAGTAGAACGGTGAACATGGAACCACATGATTCCTCGGAGCTTTACGACTACATATGTTTTCTCAAGCGCCACCTGATCCGGATGACCTCCCGCTGTTCAAAGACGAGGGTAAAGTCCTCAGTCAAAGCTTGTCCGATCTGTTTGCCTGGGTTTGTCCGTCGCAGAGAACTGGGGAGAGTCGGTGATAGTGCCCATTGTCGATCTGGAATACGCAGACGACATCCTTCTCATCTTCGAAGGGGAGTGGAAGGCGCAGGTGTTTTTGAATGAACTGACCAAAGTGATCCCGTCCTTTGGTATGCGCTTTGCACCCACAGTGCTCGTGGATGTGCAGTCATTGAACACGTCACTTACAATCCAGGGAGAGGTACTGGAAGTTGTGGAGCGCTTTACGTATGTTGGGAGTTGTATTAGTTCTGATTGTAGTGTGATAGATGAGGTGAATACACGAATCTGCAGGGCCTGGTTCGCGTTTGCTAATTTGGGACACCTATGGCGTCAGTGTGGTTTATCCATAAATCTCAAGGGGCGTGTGTATCAATCTACAGTACGGGCTGTTTTGTTGTATGGATATGATACGGCCTATTCCAGTAGCTGAAGCGAGACGTCTTCAGGTGATCGACAATCGTTGTCTCAGAACCGTATCTCGTGTAGGTTGGTGTCAGCAAATCCGTAATGAGGTAGGTAGAAAGTGCGTTTTCGGTTGTGCACCGGGTACTTTCATTGGATAATGTGTCCAGCATCAGAAGCTGCGTTGATTGGGCGACGCGTTGCGTATGACGAACCATCGCTTGCCGAAGTGCTGTTTCCTATGCCCGATTCAGAGTGGCGTAAACGGAGAGGTGGACAAACCTTAACTTGGTGGAGAAGTATGAAGGAGTTCACGAAACACTTGGGTGCTGTCGGTGCTAATCGTCTTCGACGATGGGCACCGCGTGGCCCTCACTGCGCCTGGTTGGAGACACTAATATATATGGTTACCAACCGATGGCACTGGCGTTCTGGGCACCGCCCCTCACTGCACCTGGTTGGAGACACTAATATATATGGTTACCAACCGATGGCACTGGCGTTCTTGTTGTCAGTTTTCTATCCAGATCGCCCGAGTGAAGGTCTGAAGGTATTTGTTGCATGGGTGCAGCCTGTGCGCGGGGAAACTAAATAATTTAAGTTTGTGGTGTTAGTACCAGCCGCAACGGATGCCTTCATAAATAACTCCAAATTACAACTCACATTTCATCAGCTTATTAAAGTTCAACACACTGTCCAGGGTAGAAACGACTATTGGGGCCAGTTCCTTGGAAATCTTCACGAAAGCATATCCTTGGTGCCTAAGAGTCTGAGAGCATTAGAATAAATAATGATTTACTTTCTTAGACTTGGGCATGTAGACCGCATCCACTTTTCCGAACTGGCTCAAGTATTCAAGAACCTCCTTCTCACCAAAGTATTGTGGAAGCCTACTCAGACGCAACACAGCAAACTTGGATTGCGCCATCCAGCCACGCCAAGTATGCACTGCAGCGAGCCACTAGCTCAACTGTCCAGAACCATCAGACGCAGCGGTCGAAGAGGAAAATCCGGAGCGCTCATTGGTCAAGATTCCGAAAGAGGAGTGGGCTGTTTTGAGCATTCGTTTGAATGGATGCATTAGTTAATCTGCTACAGCCCCATCTCCACAATAATGTAATACAGTGTCTGATGATCAACATCGATTCTGCTACGCGGTACGTCCGCAAAAGGTTTCGTTTTTTGCTCGTGAAAATTTGCGGAGAAATCTTTTCGCTGTTTAATCTATTTCCAGAGTCAACATTTATCATTTTGTTAAATTTTTTACTCTGTGCGCCGAAATCGGTGTCAGACTGAACTCCGTTTATGTGGTGCACCCAACCGCTTTCAAGCATAAGTCAGATCATTACAGAATGATTACCTCTACAGCCATCGGTGGAACCAGAAATGAGAAAAATGAATGTCGTCCTAGTGCCAGACGTAGAGTACATTCTCATGCTTTTAGTGCCTGGCGGCATTCTAAATGTACTGGTTTCCTGGATGATCAGATTAGATGATCATCCAAATCTGACACGCTTGACCGTGCCAGCTGTCTTCGTGCTGCAATGCACTCCACGACTAGAAATAAGACTGGGAATAACCAAACCAAGTCCAAAGGACCATTACAAATACACACTCAGGAGGAAGTTGGTACTTCTTTCTAAAGCTCTGTAAAAAAGAGTATTGGCATGGGCGAGTGCCGATAACCAAATTTCCTCCCTGAACGCGTACCTATCGCTCTTCATTCCAGGTCCCTCGGCATCGAAGAAGGCTGCCCAATGTCTCGATGCAGCATTGAGGACCACCGCAACGTCCGTAGTGCACGAGCAAAGAGGGAAGTCCACGCTGGCCACCCGATGGGTATTCCCCAGAAAACCTGACCAAAGAAACTGGCACAGGCACTCAAAGAGTCTTGAATAGCCTCACGCAGGACGGCTACACAGAAAGGGAAGCAAGTGAACTGTTGGGCTTCTAGTCGAACCCACCTCTAATACCCTAGAGATTAACTTAGAAATGGATGTCCGCATTCAGAAAGCCTACTCAAAGATTAAGGGTCGCCCACTAGAGACTCGTCAACTGGGCCACAGCATGTCCTGGAGATGACGCACGACACAAGCATCCTCTTGGCGACAGAACATTTGACCCCAGACTTACAGCCAACTCGGTGATAGCTACGGATTCTTGTGCTCCTGAAAGCCCATCGATGCAACCGGCCGTGACTCCGGATGGCATTTTATTCTCACCCACTGAAGGTCCATTGACTTCCACCTGTAGTGATACTAGAGGCGGGGCGAGCCTTACGAGAACATAGCGTCAAACAAATGTAGAAGTATCGTCGCTTATTTCCTCAGTGGACAACAAAGACGCAATGGTAAAGGCTGCACACAATTCACAAGTTCTAAGCTGGAATGAACCCCCCATCTTCAGACAAACGGCAAAGTCGACTGACAGATCAGCCATAACCATTGACCTCAAAACCGGGGGTTACTGCAGGAGCCCTTCGACCACAGGAAAATTAAAACTTCCAATGCTCAGCCCCAGTATATCGGAAGCGACCTGTCCGACTATGGTCCTAATCATCACTCATGAAACCGACAGTCAAAGACACAAACCCGACAACAACGTACCAAAAATCATGCGTACACCCAGTTGACCACGCTGCTCGTAGACAACGATGAAAGTGAATGCGGCCGAATAAACCATGTAAATTTTGCCTAAACAAAAAGCTGCTTGCTGGACACGAGGTGCGTTTTTCTTTGAAAACTAGCTGCTTTGGGACGCCTATAAAAGGTATACTCCTTGATAGCACCATCCAAAATATCAGCAAGGGAACAGGGTCTAACCAGTATGCCTCGTGGTTTAAACAGCTCCAGAAAGCACAAGAAACCAAGCGGAAGCACACTCGACCCAAAACCTTAGGCAACGACGAATCCGGACGTTCAAAAGTCAGCATTATACCAGCTAACGTCACTGGCCACCGGAACGTTTGTCCACGTACTCAAAAACAAAGTGCCCAAGCACGCCGGTTTCAAAGTTAGCAAATAAGCACCGCGACGAAAAACAGACCTTGGAAACCCCAATCAGGAAGTGGCCAAGTGCGCCATAGAGCTCTCTTTAAAGCCCTGCACTCAAACCAGGCGCACGGTTGGTAGGGATCATATACTTTTCGATAGCGCACCTTTTGGCTCCTCAAATTTCGGCGCGGCAGTGATAGTGTTGAACTGCTCATCAACAAACCACCTCGGTCTTTTAAACTAACTTCACATATTCACCAGTCGGTCTGCTTTGTACAACCGTCCATAATCGCACTAGAAGAGACCTAGCTCACAGCAGATATCTCTCGAAAGTCGCGATATCCAAGCTAGCTTTAAACACGGGAATGCCGGACGATTGTTTTATACTTTTATGCGAGTGAGCCCACCCGGACTGCCCACTCCAATACCACTAGTGCACCTTTACGTGATGCTCTGTGGATTAACTTCCGCTCATGGGACTGATTTTTTCTTGACGATTGGTCCAGCGTGGCGTTTAAAGTCTACCGGAATGATATCAGCTACTCATACGAGCCTTTCTTTAACCCTGCTCTGGCTACCACATCATGCGTTTCTCGCTAGTGGTTGAATATAACACTCCCACGGGCCTCTGATTGGAGTTCCATAGCATCGGATATAGTGGAAATTTTGCACCGGCGCTTACTACAGTCGTTCAGTAGAGCGTCTGGACTCTTGTGTGCGACAGCACACAGTAGATGCGGGCAATGTTTGGAAGATTTTTAAGCTCAACGCACACAACTTTATTGAATGGTATTTCTTCCCATTTCGGGTGGTTGGTGCCTAAAATAACCCCCTTTTGACGGGGGGCATCTAATGCCAGTTCAGAGCACATTTGCCTCACCTTTGTTTGAATCCTCGCTATTCTGCACTGAGAAGTTAAAAATCGGTCCTTCACCCTTTTTTGTTTGTGCCTTCCAAGTGAACGCAAGCCGAAGAATGACAAGCAAACCCGACCCCTGAATCTCGGGTCAAGGCCGCGATCCTGTCTATCACTCCGTGAACCCCTGAGTGGTTTCAGCGGATGCTGAAACAACACGCGGGACGGATTTTTCTCCTTGTTTGTACGCAGTTTACCACAAACCAATAGAGCTGCGCTCTTAACGGACGACTTATTTTTCTATTTATAAAAACTGATGGATCAGATGCCATTCGGTCAAATGCCCAACAGAGTTCAGGAGGGAATGCTACACGGAGTCACTGCACTTCTCCCAAGTAGGAAGTTTCATATGAAAGGTAGATCAACCTGGTCCTCTACTTTAAAGGTCTACGGTGTAGTTCATCGGTGCTTCGCCTAAAGACTACTCACTTTTCTGATTTACGTCATCGATCTTCCTGATGCACTACTTTTTGCGGGGAAAAGATGAGAAGCTCCTCAAAGTTGGATATCGTAATTTGTAAGACAACAGTCCCTCATCCCGGGCAGATTTTGCGTGGAAAAATTTTCCTCCGACGGCTATCTACACTGCATCTAAGACCCAGTTCGAAGAAATCTTTGACGCTATTTTGTGTGGGTTCTCGTGATGGCAGAAGGTTGAATACCCAATGAGCGCAACTACACAACATGCGGTTATGGTATTCATTTGGAAGGTAATGCTGAAACAGAGGGACAAACCTGTCGCGTGTAGCTTGGGCAAACGTCTTCGCCCGATGAATCAACCCGTCAGTCTGAGAAAACAAGATCCTCTTTTGGGTTCACATTTTTGATCAGCAGGGCTCGCCTTGCTATTTCAGAAGTAGGCACATCCTCCACACTGGCAAATAATCTACACCTAGTGTTTCGCCAGTCGCTTGACAAAGGCCGCCTTCCCTCAGCTTGGAAGGAAGCGATTGTCACGCCAATCTAAAAAACTGGTGACTGACTGTCGCCTGGCAGCTGGAGGTCTATAAGCCTCACTAGCGTGCCATGAAAGTTGATGGAACGCAATTTGAAGCGAGCTATCGTAGATAAAATTACTTCCAGCAATCCGATATCTCCAGCTCAACACGAAGTTCTCCCAAACCGATCTTGCGTGACAAACATGCTCAAGTGTATGGACAGATTAACCCAAGCCAAGGAAGAAGGACTCATATCGGATGCCATATTTTTCGACTTCTCAAAAGAATTTTATAGAGCCCTACAGGTCAAGCGACCGGCGAAACTTGGGCAAAAGCCTCGATCCTGTGTATCAATCGGTTAATCCGTTTGTGGCCAATCACGCGCGAGACAGTCGTGTTGGCCGTTGTGGCGTCCAATCGCGAGCGCTGCGGACTCTGGCGTACGACTGCACCGAGAATACTGGCACCTCGTTCTGGCTCTTTCGCACATTTTGTTGCTCCATCTACCCTTCCTATTAATAATGCTGCCTTTGAAGACCCATCCACTGGGTCCCACATGTCTCGCTGCTCCACAAACTCGGGTCCTACGGGATTCAAGGGAAAATCCTTCACTGGACCAAGGCGTTCATATCAGACAGAACATTCCGAGTGAGAATAGGCTCGACCTACTCTTATCCAGCGTCGGTCTCCATTGGAGTTCCACAAGGCTCCGTCCTGGGACCACTCCTGTTTCTGATCTACGTCAACGACCTTCCAGATGTACTTGCAAGTTCATGTCTACTTTTTGCGGACGACTTGAAACCTGGAGCTCCAATGCGAGTGCCCTTCAAATGTGTGTAGACGCTGCAAAGAAGTGGCTGGTACCTTCCTCTGAATGACGAAAAGTGCGTCCATATGTCATTCGGAGGAGACTCAGCGAATTCTTTTGTTATGCATGGTGAGAGAGGACCAGAAAACATCATGAGGATAGACGCAAAAAAGGACTTGGGTGTCTGGGTCTCCTCACACTTGTCCTTCCCACTGCATCATGAAAAATCGGCCCAAAATGCTTTTGCCATTTTACGATGGTCCGACGCACCTTCTCCCGTATTACTCGCACCGACTTCCAAATACTCTATGGGGCCTACGTCAGACCGCTCCTGGAATACGCCAACCAAGTTGTCTGCTCAGGACGCATGAAAGACGTCACCCTCATTGAGCGTGTCCAGCGGGCCGTTACGAGAACGGTTGCCGGCCTCAAATCCATGGACTACGAAACGCGTATCGCGACGCTTGTTCTCTTTCCCCTGGAATGCCGTCGCCTCCGAGGGGATCTAATTCTTACTTACGCCCTGTTTGAGCAAAGCTTGGCCAACAGGTTTTTCACGGTTGACCTAGCAAACACGGCGAGGACACAGTAGGAAGATTTTCAAGCTCAGCGCACATATTCATTAGACAAAATTTTTTCTCATTTCGGGTAGTAGCTGCGTGGAATGTCCTTCCTCCGACGGTTGTCCACGCTCCTTCTAGAAACCAGTTCAAAGCACTACTAGATATTTATTTATGCGAATCCTCGCGCTGGCAAGCATACTGCCCCGCGCTGAGTACATAAAGAGCAGTGCTACACCCTTTTTTCACTTGTGCCTTTTAGGTGAACGACAGCCACTGACCGACAAGAACAAAAGCGACCCGGGAAACTTGGGCACAAGCCTCGATCCTGTGTATCAATCCGTTAATCCGTGAATCTTATTCGTCGTGAGTTTGTCTTGGGCATCTTAGGAGCAGCGGGCGTCTCAATTGAGACGCCGACTGATGTTGATGTGTGGTGTGTGTCGGCAAACTAATTCAAAATCCAAGCACAATCATCGATTTAGCTTCCCGAGCGGGAATCTGATCGTTTTCTGTTCGTCTTCTTAAGCTCCTAACGATTGGCACTGAACTCATCAAAAACGACCTTTCTGGTGCTTTATGCGCTGCGTTACTTCACTTTAGGCGATCAAATTTCATTGGGATTGCACAAGTGGACAGACTTAGCGAATTTGCTGGCCTCCTGCAGCACAGCCGGTGGAGACAATGCATACGGGCAAATGGAATGTAAACCTTGCTCGCCCTTCGGACGAAGAAATAAGGCATGAAATAGCCGTACCAGGACCGGACGGTCTGTATCCAGCCCTCTTCAAAGAAGGCGGAAATCCCCTGGTGACCCACCTGACAAAGCTTATTGGTATTATGTGGGACGAAGAGCAAGTGCCTGCAGAATGGGACATGTCGACAGTTATCCCTGTCTTCAAAAAGGGTACACGGACGCTATGCGAAAACCACAGTGGCATCAGCCTGTTAGCTGTGGCTTCGAAGGCGCTCTCTGGCCTTATCCTTCGAAGGTTGACTGAACACAGGGAGAGGCAGCTCCGTGAAAACCAAGCTGGGTTCCGTCCTGCAAGAGGTCGCATGGATCATATCTTCACCCTCCGACAGATTCTGGAACAGCGACACTGCTTCCAGCAACCAACAATGGTTGTTTTTCTTGATCTGAAGGCTGCCTTTGACTCTGCGGACCGCCAAGCACTATGGCAGTGTCTGTGGAGCAAAGGTGTCCCCCATAAATTCTTGACCCTCATTAAGGCGCTGTACGCCAATTCCCGCGGCCGTGTAAAGGTCTACGGGAAGCTTTCTCCTGAGTTCACCTCATCAATTGGTGTCCGACAGGGCTGTCCTCTTTTACCTTTCCTCTTCAACGTCGTCATTGATACGATCATGGAAGACTCACTACCAGCCTCTAATGCCTGTGGGGTCGAAGTGCTCCCTGGGCCTCCGCTCACAGACATCGAGTACGCAGACGACATAGCTCTTCAAGGATCTGATCCCGTGGCAATGCAAACAATACTAAATAATCTAAATACTTCTGCCTCGCGGTTTGATATGCGCTTCACACCTGCAAAGTGTAAAGCGCTACTGCAAGACTGGGTGGGCTCGCACCCTAGCCTCATGCTTGCGGATGAACCGATTGAGGTAGTAGACAAATTTGTTT